CTTATTGAACATAAGATATTCACAAATATTAATAGAAAGATTTGTTCTAAATTCATTAAAAATAATGAAGCACTAGAAGATGTTCTGCTAGTAATTGTTAGTGGCAGGAAATGACTGAAATACAAGTTCATGTGCTGATCTGAACAGGAATCAACAGAAACAATAATGTCATTTTTCAAGTAAAATTGATATTTTTATACTTATCCTGACTCATGATCTTTTGCTTATCTGCCTTTCCTTTTCGAATGGTAGTGGAACACTTGAATCTCTTGAAGTTCCCGAAGCAGACGTAAAAATACATTCACCCACGAGTTACCTCCCTTTTCCCACGCAAACAGTCATGTGACCAGCCTTACTTGTCACTCTCTCCTGATTTTCTGCCCATGCACTTGGATCTGCTGTGAAATCCAAAGTGTCTTCAGCGGGGAGGTTGGGAGGGCTTCTCGTCATGAGTCAGGATAAGTATAAAAATACTTACTTAAAAAATTACATATTTTTTCTTATCCTGACTCATGATATTTTGCTTACAGAATCCGACAGATTGGTGGTGGGTCAACCCATTCCGTGGATTCATCAGCTGCCCTTAGATACGTCCTGTATCCCCCCATGGGGGACAAGTTGAATCATGTTGATTCATGTGGCTACAGATAAACTAGTATCTTCTCATTACTAGATATCTTATAACAACCCATAGATTATGATAAGATCTTTATCATAAATGATTTGCGACCCCTTCACGTACAGGTAAGATCTTTACCCATACAGGATCTTTAATCACTCATGCTAGTCTGTCCTAGACTGTGCGCATGGACTTTCAAACTAATACTTTTCTTTAGTAAAAGTTATCAGCAAGTCAACGTGATAAAGGGTGAGATTTTCCAACTCAGCGCCTTTGAGGAACCGTTAGAGGCCCAACTTGGTGAATGCCTGAGACGTCTTCAGTGGCTATGTCTCGGAGGTAGTTGTTGGCAAACACCGTGTCTGATTTCCAAAAGCAGCCCTCCATAATTGCTGGTATAGAGCAATTTCCGTGCAGAGCCAGTGTTGACGCCAGTGCTCTAACTTCGCGTGGGTTGGAAGCTCAAGGAGGTTCTAGTCCTGCTGCTTTATAGGCTCTCAATATGACGGCTCTCATCCAGAACGATATCGTTGTTCTTGAGACTTCTGCTGATGTCTCTGTTGATAATGGGATGAACAGGCGCTTGAATTTTCGTCTCCTTGTCTCAGTCTTTTGCAGATATATCTTCAGGGCTCTGACCGGACACAAGGATAGGTCTTCTATATCCTCTGGGACGAGGATTGTAGATAGCGCTGGTACATGGAACTGTCTATCTGGCTGACCAGGTAGTTGGTTCTTGGCAATGAAGTCCCATCTAAGTCCTAGATGAACTGCAGTATGTTGCCCCGTGTCGAATCTGGTTCGACCAAAGTCCAGCGCATGTATCTCTGATATTCGAGCTGCCGTGGCTAGCGCAAGCAGGAACAGAGTCTTCTCTGTCAGCTCGAAGGTAGTCTGGTCTAGAGGTTCGTAGGCATCACTGGTAAGATGACGTAGAATTACATTCAGATCCCAGGCCGGAGCTCTGAACTTATTTTGCTGGTCCTCCAGTTTAAAAGATCACAGCAGAGCAAGTAATTCTGGTACTTTCGTCAACTTGATGCCTGTTTTCATGGTAATCACTGTACTGATGGCGGCGAGGTATGTAGATAATGTCGAACCTTTCAGATGTCTGGTCTGTCTAAGATGACACAGGTATTCCGCCACTTGAGGATGAGTAGCTGCCATCGCAGTGAAGCCTTTCCGCCTTGCATAAGTCTCAAACTTCAACCACTTGTCATCATACGGGTTACGAGTAGATCTGCGTAACGCTAGTGTTACTGCCTTGGTTGCCCTGGCGGAGTATCCTCTTTTCTTCAAACATGTTTTGATACGGTCCACACGTGTAGCTGGAACGCTGTCGGGTTCCCGTGGACTTGCTTGGTGTGCGGATGTATGAGTAGGTTAGGCCAATCTGGTAACTTGATTGCTGGACTTCCGAGATCTTCTATTAGGTCTAGGAACCATACTCTCGCTGGCCAGTATGGCGTGACCAAAGTCAGTTGTAGCGCCTGTGTCTGTTTGATCTTCAACAGTACTTCCGGTAGTAATATCGGGGGTGGAAACTCGTAAGTGTTTAGTCCTTCCCAAGATATGCTCAGTGCATCTGTTGCCCAGGCTTGAGGATCTGGAACGGGTGAGACAAATGTCTGTAGTTGTGAACCTTGTGGCAAACAGGTCTATGCAACTTCTGTGATGTGAGCCTTCTCTTCGCGAACCTCTGTCTCGTGATGAGTGACTTCGCGAACGTCTGTGAGAGATATGAGATCTCGATCTAGAGCGGCTAGGTGTAGGAGATTGGTCCTTCAATGTTCTTGAACGTTGAGGGTTCGCGGATGTAGAGCGGTGAGTAGGCATCTCATCTCTTCTATCCTGCTCTAAGATGACAGAGTGGTCCGACTGTGGAGACCTTCGCAAAGGTGTACGTTCATCAACGTAGTCTTGAGATGTAGTTCTATGAGGAGTAGGTTCATGCAGGTCCGTAGGTTTGCGCATGGTGTCGGTAGATGAGAGGCTTCGCCGAGCCTTCGCTTCTTCCTCGAACATACGTTCCATCATGGCCATCATCTGGTTGGTGAATTGTCTCATAAATTCGCCCGGGTCGAAGTTCTGCGTTGGTTGCAGCTGCTGCGGTGTAGATGAAGCGTTCCAGAACGCTGATGAGTTCTGCGCCTCAACTTCACTCCGTTGAGAAGTAGGTGGTAGTTCGTCAAACAGCTGGCCTGCTGACCGTTGCAGGGGACAATCTAGTAGTTGTAGAAGGAGATTGAGTCGCCGATCTCGTAGGTACTTCGGGTAGAAGTAACGGGGGGTCATCAAAAACGTCTACTTCATGTGGAGGTAATATCTCTTCATTGAAGGATTTCTGGTGCGTTGACATACTAGCACACGTAGATTTACCCTCGGATCTGGTAACAGATGCTTTCTTCTGCGATGTAGAAGAAGATGACGCCTTTTTCTTAGCTTGAGTCAGAGTCAACTGCGTTGTAGCCGATCTCTTCTTGGACCCCGTACCAGTTCACTGCCCCTGCAACGTACTAAACATAGCACCAGTATTATGAACTTCAGCAGTAGCAAGCAACATACAGTTTGTAGGCTGATCTCCTGTTTTATCAGCCTTGACTTGAGATGACCGGATCACCCGATCCATGGCACGTCTATAGATATAAGACAAATATTGATTAAATTGAAGATTTGATAAATCAACACAAGTACAGCGCAAGCTGGAAGAACATAGTTTTGTGCATGAAGGGCACTGGGGGTGAGGATCAGCCACGGATAACCTGTGCCTGCAAACACTGCAAGATTTCATAAAATGTAAACAAAGTTACATTACGATGAATTTATGACATAAATACAAATAATTTTTACAATTTTTTTACAAATAATACATAGTAGTTTTTGCCAAATCCATTTACAGCATAATTTTGAAGAATAGGACCTAAATAAAAAGGATATAAAGCCGTATAAGGGACTCCATTGCTCGTCCAACCATCCGCTTGGGCGAAAAGGGAGAGAGTGACAAGTAAGGCTGGTCACATGACTGTTTGCGCGGGAAAAGGGCAAAAGGGAGGTAACTCGTGGGTGAGTGTATTTTTACGTCCACTTCGGGAACTTCAAGGGATTCAAGTGTTCCACTACCATTCGAAAAGGAAAGGGAGATAAGCAAAAGATCATGAGTCAGGATAAGAAAAAATTAAGAGCTTTCTAGAAGGATTTGCACCAAAGTTTGAATACAAACATTGTTTGAATATAAACATGGCAAGCATGTTCATTCTGGAAGTGCCTTGTTGGGACAGTTTCTGATGTCTAGCATTTCAGATTGACAAGAGGGCGTCCATGCTACAACTCCTAGTATTACAGCATGGATCTATTTCTATGGCCATGATATCCCTTGTACGACAGCATCGAGCAAGTTCTATGGCCATGATATCCCTTGTACAACTGCATGGAGCCAGTTCTATGGCCATGATATCCCTTGTACAACTGCATGGAGCCAGTTCTATGGCCATGATATCCCTTGTACAACTGCATGAAGCCAGTTCTATGGCCATGATATCCCTTGTACAACTGCATGGAGCCAGTTCTATGGCCATGATATCCCTTGTACAACTGCATGGAGCCAGTTCTATGGCCATGATATCCCTTGTACAACTGCATGGAACCAGTTTTATGGCCATGATGTCCCTTGTACGACAGCATTGAGCAAGTTCTATGGCCATGATATCCCTTGTACAACTGCATGGAGCACGTTTTATGGTCAAGATATCCCTTGTACAACTGCATGGAGCCAGTTCTATGGCCATGATATCCCTTGTACAACTGCATTGAGCCAGTTCTATGGCCATGATATCCCTTGTACAACTGCATGGAGCCAGTTTTATGGCCATGATGTCCCTTGTACGACAGCATGGAGCCAGTTCTATGGCCATGATATCCCTTGTACAACTGCATGGAGCACGTTTTATGGTCAAGATATCCCTTGTACAACTGCATGGAGCAAGTTCTATGGCCAATATATCCCTTGTACGACAGCATGGAGACAGTTTTATGACCATGATATCCCTTGTAATGCAGCATGGAGCTAATTCTATGACCATGATATCCCTTGTCCTACAGCATGGAGACAGTTCTATGATCATGATATCCCTTGTTCTACAAAATGGACCTAGTTCTATGGCAATGATATGCCTTGTTCTACAGAATGGACCTAGTTCTATGATATCCCTTGTTCTACAGCAAGGAGGTTGTTCTATGGCCATGATATCCCTTAACTACAGCATGGAACTGTATATTTTTCTTCTTCAACAGCAAGGAGCAAAGGCCACCTTTTAGTACATGGATTTTTGATTTTGATATTGTCAAAAACAACTTCACACTAATGTATGTCGCAATGCCATACCTGTCTGACTTTCTCCACAGCAAGAGACAAGATGTAGGTGACCACATAGTACTCCTGCCAACCGAGTGTGGGCTTGATCTTGGCCAGTATGATGAAGGCAAACATCACCAGGAATGAAAGGTATGTCATCTGCAACACAACAGCAAGTCTTGGTCCGTGTCTACATATGTAGTTTATAAAATATAACCAAATCAGTTCAGTATCCAATAATACTTGTTTCAATCCAGAAACTTGACACGACTCGTTTTAGCTTTGTCGTATGACTTTTGACCTATCTTGTATCAAATGAACTGGATCTCTCTTTACAAGTGAAATTTGGTCTATATTATCATGAAGAAACCTATATGTAATGTCAGGACAGAAAACAGAAGCACTGTCATTACATAAGCTGTATGTTGGGCTATGAAGGGAAACTACCCTAGAATAAAATGAAAATGGAAGTTAGCTTTGTAAGAGAAAACTTACCGTATGGGACCAGAATTTAGTGATAGGAGCATTGTAGAACTCGTAGATCTTTTTACCGAGTCTGAGTGGACTCTTCTTCTTCTTGAAGGGGTGGTTGAAGTATGTGCTGACATCTACTGGCACAGTGCCATTCTCCTTGGCAGGAGCTTGTAGTGCTGAGTGGAAGCTTGTCTCCAGGTCATCGTTAAAGTCATTCTAAAAGACCACAACAACACCATATCAACTCCAAATCTTTACCATGTTTGAAATAAAACCTGGTTTGCTGAAGTTTTATTGCTCTTTGTTCAAATACCCATTAATGTTGTGTGGAACTAAGGTCAGAGAATGTTCTGTTTGCCTGATGTATCAGTGAAAATGAGGATGAAAAAGTAACAAAGTGTGACTGGTTGTTTTCATATTATCACACACTGTTGGTATGGACTGTTCCTCATAATGACTGTCTCCCACTTGAAGAGGTGTTAAGGCTGTATCAGTACTAGAATGAAGTAACAAGTCACTGACTGTAATCTGTTAGGAATGTTCACAAGATTTGGCATAGCTCATTTGAAATAAGTGATGACTGTTGTTTAATTTCAGTTATCCTTCTTCAAAAGCCAGTTCCATTTTTATCTTCCTTTGGTTAGTATGTACATGGGGCAGTGGGGTAGCCTTGTGGTTAATGCGTTTGCTCGTCACGCTGAAGACCCAGGTTCGATTTCCCACATGGGTACAATGTGTGAAGCCCATTTCTGGTGTTCCCCGCTGTGATATTGCTAGAATATTGCTAAAACCAGCATAAAAATAAACTCATTCACTAGTATGTACATAAAATAACAGTTTAAAGAGACAGTTTGGATAAAAAAATTCCTTTAGAACATCCAGTCATAAATAATTTATTTGAGGTCAAAACTGAGGACACTTAGTATTTTTCAGTATTTCTGGAACAAAATATATTTGAAGGCACCTTCAAGAATACCAAATGGTAGATCCTGAATAGATCACACAACCAACACTCAGCCATGTTATTTCTATATATTCCTTGATGTATATTTAATTTTTTTTCAAAACACCTGGTATCATCACTATCTGATTGTCATTTAGCAAACCCTGCCTATCATATGATAGGCACTGATTGTACACTGATTATGGGAAGGGTCTTGATCTAAGGATACCTACAGCTGCATGGTGATGCCTCGGATGTACCAGGGGTGTCATGCATGACTACAGGGTCGGTATGACTAGAGTGCTGTACAGTGTGTCATACTACAGGTTCTCTATTGTAATCCTGGTTTAGTATTGGGAAACTAGTGACTAACAACTTACCAACACAAATACTCATGAGTATGTTAAAAATGATGATGAAATTTACTGAGTGCATTAAGAGTGTTCTGTGGACAATGAATCAGCAAATCCATGAATGTACATATTAACAACAAAACATGGCTACAACAACATTACAAGGATGACTACTACTGAAAGATAACAGGAAGAATGACATCACCCACACCGTTCATGCAGTGAATGGATAATAGCAACAAGTGCTGGGATGTACATGCAGGAAACATGCATAGCGTCTCATCTATCAACATTAACCTTAGGCATTGAACATTTTCTGAGTGACTGGAAACTATGCAGTGTAAGTAATCTGTTTTCCCCTGCACATCAGGTTGGACTCTGAGAATAGAATCAGCTCTGTGCTGTAGTACTAGGAGTCGTAGCCATGGACGTCCTCTTGTCACTCTGAAATGCTGTACATCTGTCCCAGCCAGGGACTTCCAGAACGATTATGCTTGCCATGTTTATGTTCAAAGAAGGGCAAATAACAAATGTTTAAAATTGTGTGTCATCTGAAGTTGATGCTTGTTATTTGGAACAATTTGTTATACAGTACTAAATATAATTGTGCATAGAAAAAAAATCATGTTTTGGATAAATGTCCTGCTATATCCATTTCTGAAAGATATTTGATGAGTAATCTCTTTCCTGTAAGCATCCTTCCTTCTAATCCCCTTCAACATGCCAGAATAGAATAGTCCAGCCATGTATGTCGTATGACCACACCAACAAGCCGTCTCTTTCCATGATACTTACAACATAACACCATATGTGCGTGACCACCACATCAAGCCAACTCACACTGAAAATCTTGGACTAAATTGACCTACTTCAATCACCTGGTCTTCATCGAAGGAGCTGACTGAGATGTTATCATTATCACTGGCACCATCTTCAAGCTCTTCCAGATGTTCTTCCATTGTCTGAGGCATGAGCTGCAACTCCTCCTTGCTCTTGAACTCCAGGGCAGCTACACATGGCGGTATGGCGGCAGGAGGATTCCCAGTAGCACCTGAAACATTGGATCATGGGCACAGTGGACATGGGGATTCCCAGTAGCACCTGAAACATTGGAGCATGAGTACAGTGGACATGGGGATTCCCAGTAGCACCTGAAACATTGGAGCATGGGTATAGTGGACATGGGGATTCCCAGTAGCACCTGAAACATGATGGGTACAGTGGACATGGGGATTCCCAGTAGCACCTGAAACATTGGAGCATGAGTACAGTGGACATGGGGATTCCCAGTAGCACCTGAAACATTGGAGCATGGGTACAGTGGACATGGGGATTCCCAGTAGCACCTGAAACATGATGGGTACAGTGGACATGGGGATTCCCAGTAGCACCTGAAACATTGGAGCATGGGTACAGTGGACATGGGAATTCCCAGTAGCACCTGAAACATGATGGGTACAGTGGACATGGGGATTCCCAGTAGCACCTGAAACATTGGAGCATGGGTACAGTGGACATGGGGATTCCCAGTAGCACCTGAAACATTGGAGCATGAGTACAGTGGACATGGGAATTCCCAGTAGCACCTGAAACATTGGAGCATGGGTATAGTAGACATGGGGATTCCCAGTAGCACCTGAAACATTGTGGCATGGGTACAGTGGACATGGAGATTCCCAGTAGCACCTGAAACATTATGGCATGGGTACAGTGGACATGGGTATTCCCAGTAGCACCTGAAACATTGTGGCATGGGAACAGTGGAAATGGGGATTCCCTGTAGCACCTGAAACATTGGAGCATGGGTACAATGGAAATGGAGATTCCCAGTAGCACCTGAAACATTGTGGCATGGGTACAGTGGACATGGGGATTCCCAGTAGCACCTGAAACATGATGGGTACAGTGGACATGGGGATTCCCAGTAGCACCTGAAACATTGGAGCATGGGTATAGTGGACATGGGAATTCCCAGTAGCACCTGAAACATTGGAGCATGGGTACAGTGGACATTGGGATTCCCAGTAGCACCTAAAACATTGGAGCATGGGTACAGTGGACATGGGGATTCCCAGTAGCACCTAAAACATTGGAGCATGGGTACAGTGGACATGGGGATTCCCTGTAGCACCTAAAACATTGGAGCATGGGTACAGTGGACATGGGAATTCCCAGTAGCACCTGAAACATGATGGGTACAGTGGACATGGGGATTGCCAGTAGCACCTGAAACATTGGAGCATGGGTACAGTGGACATGGGGATTCCCAGTAGCACCTGAAACATGATGGGTACAGTGGACATGGGAATTCCCAGTAGCACCTGAAACATGATGGGTACAGTGGACATGGGAATTCCCAGTAGCACCTGAAACATGATGGGTACAGTGGACATGGGAATTCCCAGTAGCACCTGAAACATTGGATCATTGGTACAGAGTAGTCAGGGTGGGTACTGATTTGTCCTGAATAAGTCCAAGGTCTTTTCAAGGCATGACATAGACAAAGTACATACTTGGGGAATGTAACCAACCTTCATACTTGTATTTTTTCTCATGCGCAGCCCCCCAATCCAGAGGTCATTGAGTAACACCTGGCAGCAGGTGTGAGCAATGAACTCCCGATGGTTGGCAGCCACTGCCAGGCTCAGACAGGTCTGCTCACTGAAGTTCTTCAGCTCATACGTGAGTAGTTGCTGGGTGTAGTCATCATCTATCTTGTAGCAGTGCTCCAGCAACTCCAGGGCTAGAGTCTGGAACTCTCTGAAACACAGGACAAACCTAGTCTCACTCGCTGGTAACAGAAACAGGCGTTGGGAAAGTTGGTTTTGATTAACCGCCTTCATGCTTTTATACTGTTCTGAATATACAGAATTTACAGGTCGTTGAGATGTATAGACAATATATTGCCGAATCCATAAGGAGTTTATTAGGATGGGATATAAAGATAGGTTATTGAGATTCTCAATGTAAAACAGTTACTCACTTTGCATAGGATCTAAATTCATCTGATAGTTCTATTTCCAAGTCATCCTGGTCTGCTTCATGGGCCATTGCTTTGAACAGCTTGCATGCTAACAGAGCCTAGTGAAAAAGAGAGGTAACTTGTCATAGGAAATACCACGTTCAAATACCTAACACTGCACTTAGAATGGGAAAGTTTGTTATTGTACAGCACACAAATCATAAAATCCTATTTTTCTTAAAGGAAATGTACTGACACAAGAAGTACTTTATCAACACAAATAAAAGCAATATAATATAAGATACATCTTGTTACAGCTACTGCAATAAGTGTACCCATCATCATGTCTCTGTTCCAGCACAACAATCCCCGGCTGAACAATATAAGTGATGGTGTCCCATTAGACAATCTCTAAAACACTTCTTTTCCCAGACATGTGGGGAGAAAAGGGGAGACAAACCTTGGCCATAGCTTCCTCTCCATGCTGCCACATGAACAGAGACATTTTCTGTCTCTTCATGAGGACGGCCCAGATCATCAGGTCATGGAATGGGTAGGGAAACAGTTCCTCTGCCTGTTTGGTGTTCACCAGGTGCGGGATGGATGTCACCACATTGCCTATAGAGGCACCCTGGAAGGAAAACTACCAGTGTAATCCTATTGTGAACATTAATATGAATCACAGATAACAACAGTAGGCAATATTTCACTTGTTATTGCATGTACACTGAGAAATGTTTCCCGTAATTTGAAAACAGTATACCAACTTACCTGATGACATGATCAATCTTAATACTACAACCATTATGTTTACCACTAAAGACATTCATGGAGATATTTTATATACTTTTTGCACATACTTTCATAAGTAAGAACATAGACCTAAATTTAGTTAATGAACATGTTTTAAGAAGAAATTATTGAATAATCCATCAACACTATCTGCCCAAATGTCATAACATTTACTAGTATGCTAAATGTTCTCAGTTGTCCTGAAAGCTGTTTGGCAAGTCAAGGTGCATCATCCTGCCCCTTGTTCTATGTATAGCCCCTGTAAGGCTCAACTCACATGGATGTACTGACAGTGAGCAGGGCAGCAATAGTGCTACTCAATGTCAGAATGCACAGGGCATCTATAGTGATGCATCCCTGTGATAATACTCAGGGCATCTATAGTGATGCATCTATTGTATCAGTCATAGTGTACAGGGCAGCAATAGTGAAAGTGTCACTGTTATAGTGTACAGGGCAGCAATAGTGAAAGTGTCACTGTTATAGTGTACAGGGCAGCAATGGTAAGAGTGTCACTATCATAGTGTACAGGGCAACTATTGTGAAAGTGTCACTATCATAGTGTACAATGCAGCAATAGTGAAAGTGTCACTGTCATAGTGTACAGGGCAGCAATAGTGAAAGTGTCACTGTCATAGTGTACAGGGCAGCAATAGTGAAAGTGTCACTGTCATAGTGTACAGGGCAGCAATAGTGAAAGTGTCACTGTCATAGTGTACAGGGCAGCAATAGTAAAAGTGTCACTGTCATAGTGTACAGGGCAGCAATAGTAAAAGTGTCACTGTTATAGTCTACAGGGCAGCAATAGTAAAAGTGTCACTATTATAGTGTACAGGGCAGCAATAGTGAAAGTGTCACTGCCATAGTGTACAGGGCAGCTATAATAGTGAAAGTGTCACTGTTATTATAGTGTACAGGGCAGCAATAGTAAAAGTGTCACCGTCATAGTGTACAGTACAATGGCAATATACTGAAAGTGTCACTGTCATAGTGTACAGGGCAACTATAGTAAAAGCGTCACCGTTATAGTGTACAGGGCAGCAATAGTAAAAGAGTGTCACTATCATAGTGTACAGGGCAAGCAACCATAGTAAAAGTATTGTGAAAGTGTCACTATCATAGTGTACAGGGCAGCAATAGTGAAAGTGTCACTGTCATAGTGTACAGGGCAGCAATAGTAAAAGTGTCACTGTCATAGTGTACAGGGCAGCAATAGTGAAAGTGTCACTATCATAGTGTACAGGGCAGCAATAGTGAAAGTGTCACTGTCATAGTGTACAGGGCAGCAATAGTAAAAGTGTCACTGTCATAGTGTACAGGGCAGCAATAGTGAAAGTGTCACTGATATAGTACAGGGCAGCAAGCAAAAGTGTCACTGTCATAGTGTACAGGGCAGCAATAGTAAAAGTGTGTCACTGTTATGAGTGTACAGGGCAGCAATAGTAAAAGTGTCACTATTATAGTGTACAGGGCAGCAATAGTGAAAGTGTCACCGTCACGTACAGGCGTGCCATAGTGTACAGGGGCAGCAATAGTGAAAGTGTCACTGTTATAGTGTACAGGGCAGCAATAGTGAAAGTGTCACCGCCTCATAGTGAAAGAAAGCGTCACTGTCATAGTGTACAGGGCAGCAATAGTAAGAGTACTGATAGCGTACAGGCAAGTGTCACTGTCAGGGCAACTATAGTGAAAGTGTCACAGGTAACAGGTTAATAGCGAAAGCGTATAGTGTAATAGTGTACAGGGCAGCATAGTGAAAGTGTCACTGTCATAGTCATACAGGGCAGCAATAGTAAAAGTGTCACCGTCATAGTGTACAGGGCAAACAATAGTGAAAGTGTCACTGTCATAGTGTACAGGGCAGCAATAGTGAAAGTGTCACCGTCATAGTATAGTAAAAGTGTCACTGTCATAGTGGCACAGGGCAGCAATAGTAATAGTGTACAGTGTCACTATCATAGTGTACAGGGCAGCAATTGTGAAAGTGTCACTGTCATAGTGTACAGGGCAGTCATAGTAAAAGTGTCACTCATAGTGTACAATAGCAGCAATAGTGAAAGTGTCACTGTCATAGTGTACAGGGCAGCAATAGTAAAGTGTACACAGGCAAAGGTTAACCGTCATAAGGGTCATAGTAGTAAAATAGTGTGTCACTGTCATCATAGTGAACAGTGTCACCGTTATAGTCACAGCAATCATAGTGTACAGGGCAGCAATAGTGAAAGTGTCACTGTCATAGTGTACAGGGCAGCAATAGTAAAGTGTCACCGTCATAGTGTGAAAGTGTCAGGTCATGCGTAGCAATAGTAGGGCAAAGTGTCACTGTCATAGTGTGCGTTAACAGTGAAAGCGTCACTGTCATGAGTGTCACTCGTCATAGTACAGGGCAGCAATAGTGAAAGTGTCACTTTCATAGCGTAGTAAAAGAACAGGGCAGCAATAGTGTCATGTGTACAGGGCAGCTACTGTCATAGTAAGGGCAGCAATAGTGTGTCACATAGTGTACAGGGCAGCTATAGTGAAAGTGTCACTGGTCATAGTGCAGGGCAATAGTGTAAAAGTGTCACTGTTATAGTGTACAGGGCAGCAGCAATAGTACAGGGCAAATCCATAGTGAAGGGCAGCAATAGTAAGATGTCACTATCATAGTGTACAGGGCAGCAACCGTAAAGTGTCACTGTCATAGTGTAATAGTGAAAGCAGTCATAATAGTAGAAAGTGTCACCGTCATAGTGTACAGGGCAGCAAATAGTGAAAGTGTCACCGTCATAGTGTACAGGCAATAGTAAAAGTCAACGGCAGCAAAAAAGTGTCACCATCATAGTAGTGAAAGTGTCACTGTCATAGTGCACAGGGCAGCAATAGTAAAAGTGTCACCGTCATAGGGTACAGGGCAGCAATAGTGAAAGTGTCACTGTCATAGCGTACAGGGCAGCAATAGTGAAAGTGTCACTGTCATAGTGTACAGGGCAGCAAAGTGAAAGTGTCACTGTCATAGTGTACAGGGCACAGCTATAACAGGCGTTAAATAGTGAAAGCGTCAGAAAGATTGTCACTGTCAAAGTGTCATAGTGTACAGGGCAGCTATAGTGAAAGTGTCACTGTCATAGTGGACAGGGGCAACTATAGTAAAGTGTCGTCACCGTCATAGTACAGGGCAGGAAAGTGTCACTGTTATAGTGTACAATCATAGTATTGCTATCGGCATAGTGAAAGTGTCACTGTCATAGTGGACAGGGCGGCTGTAGGAAAGCACTGTTATAGTGTAGTGAAAGTGTCACTGTCATACTGTGTACAGGGCAACTATAGTGAAAGTGTCTCTGTCATAATGTACTGTCATAATGTACAGGGCAACTATATTGAAAGTGTCTCATAGTCATAGTATAGTAAAGTGTCACTGTCATGGGGGCAACTATAGTGAAAGTGTCTCTGTCACAAGTGTACAGGGCAGCTGTAGTGAAAGTGTCAATGTCACTGTGCAGGGAGGAGGTGTCAAAGCATCTTGATAAGAATTCATAAACCCACCTGACAAATATGGCAGTCATTGCAACATTTAAGAAAGGAATATTCACAGACTAGAGTTTCAACGAAAACTATCTAAAATTGTTGAACAAATAGAAATTATGCCTCAAAATATCCAAATCCTAATGATTGAGACATTCAGTAGACAAGATAGACATAACATAATCAGACAGAAACCTGCAATGCCAACTTACATGCAAGCATGGTTATTTTATATTACAAGTTCCTTGACAAGTATTTCTTGAGACAATTACAATTCAATTATTAGCAATAACTTGAGTAAATTATTAGCATGCTGATTATGCTATGGTAGAAATGATTGCACAAATCATACAGATCAAACCTCAACTCAGGTGCACGGTGTAACACTTAGTGAAATGACACAAGAACATGGCTGTCAATCCTGTTGTGTTACTTGTGGTGTTAGTCCCAGTGTGAGTAAGAACTGATCATTAAAGGGTTAGACAGGAACACAAACAATTCAGGTAACTGTCAGAAAGCATATGATGCACAGATCTATTTCAACATGCTCAATATAGACATTTGGCTTTTAGTCATACTGCTCGGTGTGTTGCCATCTTTCTGTTTAAATCCTGAAAATAATAATTTATGACAAGAGTCATCAGAAGATGACAAATCCCTGCCCCTACAAATCTGAAAGAACAAATTATCTGACAGTCCAACTTTAGACTAAGTCCAAATCATTTCCATGGAAATCATGAAAAACATAAATGCCCCAAATCTGCAAATAGCAAAAAGCACCACTTCACGATCTGTTTCATATACCTGCCAAGTCTTGTAGAAAGATACTGAACGTTTTTTGAGTTGTGCTCTGAAAACAAAGTCCACCACTCCCTTTTGAGACTAAGTCCAAATCGTTTCCATGGAAACTGAGAAAAATAAAAATGCCCAAAATCTGCAAATAAGAAAAGGCACCACTTTGGGATCTGTCACACATATCTGCTAAGTTTTATTGAAAGATATTAAAAGGTTTTCGACTTGTGCTCCAGAAACAAAGTCTTCCCCTCCCTTTTGAGACTAAGTCAGAATCGTTTTCATGGAAAACGGGGAAAATAAAAATGCCAAAGTTCTGCAAATATCTGCCTCATATATCTGCCAAGTTTTATTGATAGATAGTGAGTGATTTTTTACTTATGCTCTGGAAACGAAATCCACTCCTTTTTTACACTAAGTCCAAATTGTTTACATGAAAACCCATAAAAATAAAAATGCCAAAGTTCTGTAAATAGCAAAAGACACCACTTTAGGTTCTGTTTGACATATATACCAATTTTTTGTTGAAAAATATTAGCTTCTTAGTTACGCTCTGGAAACGACTAGATAAAAAGATACGTTTGTTTTTTTCATAGATTTCTACATGATTATCCCAATCACACAGAAGAGCTAGGATCTATCTAGCTATCCTATGAGAGACAGGCAAAGCACTGTTACCACTGGAGATAAAACAAATAAACACATGAGGTATAAGCATTGCTTCACAGTTCTCATTCTCAGTATGGTGTGAAGATTTGGTTTAGGTTTGGTCTTCAACAACCTTGGCTGACCATAAGAGATTACAAAGAGGATCCTGGTTATCAGACTCTTTGACTCGCTGAGTTACTTGATGACTGTCTTAATATCTTAATGAGTACCTGGTACATTAATGCTGATACAATAGCTTACAAACTAAGGTCATATAGCAGGAATATTGCCAACTCAAACAAGAAAACAAACGTTCTAATAAAACAACATTAAAGTTCTTCTGAGACCTTGTTTTCTTCGTTTTGCCTTCTAAAAAGGCTGTTTTCTTGTTAATGTTATTTGCCATTAGAATGAAGAATTAATACATAAAATATGAGTATATATATATAAATATATTGAATGTTATGAGAATAACTAAAGGAAGCCAGACAATGTGAGAAAGGTGAACTTTAAAAGCACAAAGATCCATGCACACACAGACCAATCTAAGCAGATAGTGAGCAAGTGTCAACACACTGTACCTCTTGTTCCGAAAGCTACAAAGGGAAAAACACCACAATCAGGTCATGCTGTCGGGAAACATTGCAGCATGGCGGTTATAAAACAATCAGGATCAGCTGAATATGTTCAACAGTTAGAATACAGCTTTGCCTTATCAACAGTGCCTTGTCCCAATCCTGTTTCTATACACCCACAGATACAAGCTTGTGAAGGACCAGGTAAGTAATGATAATGGACACAAGGGAAATAGTCATGTAACAAACGTTACACTTGTATTACTCTTTTGAGAAAGTAAAATTCCAGGCATTTTGGGGGTTGACTGCAAGAGAGAATGACAGCTCAGTCCTGAAATTTACTATCAGTTCTTCCCCTCAAGGCATGTCAGAACCCCCTCATCCTTGGCTTGAATCAGATCTGACCCAGTATCAATCTACTGTCAGCTTCACAGAAGCTCATGGCAAGATGATCACACTTTATGACTTTGGATGTTACTCTCACACTGAGCTGCTGTGAAATAATTTTGTTAGAAGCAGTTAGACCTAACCAGCACACCCTCTTGTTCCAGTAGATTACATACCATTGTGTTATGGAAAAGTCCATGATGGACCATTGCCAAGATCAGGTGGGATTCCTAACCATTTTCAAAGTACATAAATTAAGAGGCATAAATTGAATGGTTCCAAAACACTGTTATCATCAGTAAGACATATGTACTGTACTGCAAAGACACACTCTGTGTAGCGTCTCTGTATGCCCAACTACACTGATGTCCATCACTATCAGCTTGCTGTCCATACTATATAGGCACAGGAATGGTGACTAAGGCTGCTGCTGCTGAAGGCATAGCTTGACGACATGGGGATACATTTATCAATGAGAGGACCATCAATAGAATAATACACTTAGCTGGGTCACATGGGATTTGAAAATACACTGAAGGCACATTATACCCAGATCATTTAAACTGCTAAACTTTGAGACTTGTGAACATAGCTGAGTTCATTCAGAGCGTGAAAGAATATACATTACAAATATTTATCTAATGTTTGAAACTACTCTACATCGGAAACATGCAATGCATACAATGAGACAGCCATCATGAGTCGATGCAGCACAGCCAGTCTCTAGTTCAATGTTTGGTCTATCTATACCAGGCATAAGATGGGACATGGATGCACCTTACAGTGATGCTACCTGAGATATGCATGTCCTGCTTGGTAACATATGACTCATACAGACCTGGAGCGCAACAGTTGTGCACATGTCGCCTTATTTCCTACAAAGTAATCTTATCACTAAGTTCATGATAACCCCTGATCAAATATTACTGACTGATGAGCCATAGCTCTAAGACCTCTTTGTTGAATGGGTACAGATCCAGAACCATCTTCTTCAGGACAATACCCCGAGAAGTTAAGGTCAACCCTATCATGATGTACCATGGTGTAAAAACAGGCTTGTGCAAATAAAAGGAAACTGTTTTCAATGTTCTGTGCCATCTAAATACTTTCTTAGCAGGTAAAATTGTAAGCATTCTTTTCACGTAAAACCGAAGTATTTTACTTCAATAACCAAAATCAAAAGCTTGTCCAGGTCTGTATGAACCTAAGTAAATATTCCATAGACACATGACAGAAAGACTGGGGGAAAAAGCTGATTTGGATATTTGCTTAACTCACATGGTTTTTGAGTGCGAGGTACTTCTGGCGGAATCGTTTTCTGCAGTACGATGATCGGAACGCACCACCCATGAGATGCTGGACAACCAGCCCCACATCAGGTAGCGTGTAGTTGTAGTTGGAGGGAACATGCTGGAAAATATAGAACATTCATTACTTGTGATACGACTGTCATATATCTGTGTAATGCCGTACTCTGCATTATTCCATCACCAATGTCTGGACAAGACAAGCCAGAGATCCATCTGACAAAGACTGTCTGATACCAGTAGGTCAGCTCATCACTAGTACTCTCACTACACCATTTCTGGAGTTATCATCACAAATTTAATAACAATTGAGAGAGTCATGTATGAGCTTTTTCAGACTACAGACATTTATATAGAGAGTCGTTAATGTTCTGTTGACTGAAACATATTATACTTGAACAAAATCAAACATTTCTCTAACAGTCATTTTGTTGCCACTAGATTTGACTCATGAAAACAAACATATTTCAAATTGCAGCTACTTTAAAGGATTCAACTTCATGGAAAGTAATTGTTCTGAATCTGACAAGATGACAAAATCTTCAGACTGCTACATGATCCCAGCCAACATTGCACCATTCTTCCTGTTGTGTCTTACCTTTCGGATGTCTCGGATCAGGTATCTCAAGGTGTTGGTTGGACCTTGCCTCTGTTGTAAAAACATTACACTTTAAATTGATATTAATGTAATTTTTCAAGTAAAATTGATATTTTTATACTTATCCTGACTCATGATCTTTTGCTTATCTGCCTGGAACACTTGAATCCCTTGAAGTTCCCGGAGCGGACGTAAAAATACACTCACCCACGAATTACCTCCCTTTCCCCGCGTAAACAGTCATGTGACCAGCCTTACTTGTCACTCTCTCCTGATTTTTCTGTCCAAGCACTTGGATCTGCTGTGCAATCCGAAGTGTTTCCAGCGGGGAGGTCGGGAGGGCTTGACCTCATGAGTCAGGATAAGTATAAAAATGTAATTTTTAGAGTAAAATTGATATTTTATACTTATCCTGACTCATGCTCTTTTTGCTTGTCTTCTTCTTCTTGCGAACATAGTGGAACACTTGTATCTCCCTAATTGAAGCTCCCTTCAATGTAAAATCACTAATTAGTACTCAGCACGAGTTACCTCCCTTCCACAAGCGTGGGAACGAGGGCGCCACCTCCACCCATGTGCCTCACTCTCTCCTCATATACTGAGCCCAACATTTGAATTTACAGGGAAATCCAAAGTGTTATGTGGGGAGGATGGGAGGGCTTATCTCATGAGTCAGGATAAGTATAAAATATCAATTTTACTCTAAAAATTACATATTTTTCCTTATCCTGACTCATGCTCTTTTTGCTTGTAGAATCCAACAGAGCGGAGGTGGGAATATATAATACTTTGGATTTTAATAATTAGTGATTTGAACTGTGATGATTGTAATAACCCTATGGGAACTTCATAAAGGCACTGAATTGATGAATTCCTGCTGCTAACTTATCAGCTGCCATATAAAGGTTATTACAATGTACTTATTATGATAAAGTATATATAAGATTAATACAATGCTTAAGACTAATAGACTTAAGCTTGTTAATATGCTAGTATAAACTCCTTAGAGTTTGTTAGCTAAATTACTTTAAAATATAAACATAGTACTAAGCTTAAGATATGATTAAACTTAAGCTAATTATATAATAGCAAAACTCTTTTAGAGTTTGTTAGTTAATGTACTTATATGATATAGACATAGTGCTGAGCTTAAGATATGAATAAGCTTTAGCTACCTATATAATAGCAAAACTCTGTAGAGTTTGTTAGCTAATATATTTTACAATATGAGTATAGTACTGTGCTTAAGATATAATTAACTTAAGCTACATATATAATAGCCAAAACTCTGTAGAGTTTATTAGCTTATAGATTTATAATGTAACCATAGTACTAAGCTTAAGATAAGATTAGACTTAAGCTAAATGTATATAGCAAAAAAAACTCTTAGAGTTTATTAACTAATATACTTTTATGTTATAACCATAGTACTGAGCTTAAGATATAATTAAACTTAAGCTATATATATAATAGCAAAACTCCGTAGAGTTTTGTTAGCTAATACATTTTATAATGTAACCATACTGCTTAAGATATGATGAAACTTAAGCTAATTGTATAATAGCAAAAACCCTTTTAGAGTTTGTTAGCTAAAATACTTATATGATATAAACCTAGTATTGAGTTTATGAAGGAAACCTTAAGCTACATATATAATAGCAAACACTCCAGAGTTTGTTAGCTAATATACTTATATGATATAAACATAGTATTGAGCTTTGAAGGAAACCTTAAGCTACATATATAATAGCAAAAACTGTAGAGTTTGTTAGCTAATATACTTATATGATATAAACATAGTATTGAGCTTAAGATTTGAAGGAAACTTAAGCTACATATATAATAGCAAAAACTCCGTAGAGTTTGTTAGCTAATACAAGTTATAATGTAACCATAAAGTTTAAATTATGATGAAACTTAAGCCAAATATATAATAGCAAAAAACTCTTTTAGAGTTTTGATAGCTAATATACCTATATGATATAAACATAGTATTGCTCTTAAGATATGAATAAGCTTAAGTTACATATATAATAGTAAAAAACTCCGTGAGTGCTTAAGATATAATTAAGTTAAGGTAAATATATAATAACCAACTCTGTAGAGTTGTTAACTTATATATTGTATGATGTAATAATCATAGTACTGTGATGATAAAAAGAACTTAAGCAAATTATATATAGCATGTAGCTATTTAGTACTGTTATAAGATAAGTAGAAATCTGTAAGATTGACTTATCTTCTCCGAGGAACTGTCAACTGTTGTGCGAGGACCATGGGATCGAATTGGTGGATACCTGAGACGTCCTCGGTGATGATATCTCTCAGATAATGGTTGGCAACCACCATATCGGATCTCCAGAAAATAAACCCTCCATTATTTCAAATAATATTGTGTAGATCAATTGTAGAAGTTAGCTTCTAATATCATGAGTATTAAAAGCTCATGGAGGGTCGGATTGGGTCCATCCGCCTTGTATGCACGTAGTATGACAGTTCTGATCCAAACGGAGATATAGTACGTGCGTGAGATTTCATTCTGCGAAAGTTGATGATAGAGGAAATAATCTGTTGTATTATTTCCTTCTGTTTGTTTCGTGGAGATAAATTTACAGTGCTCTTGCTGGCCATCGTGATAGAATCATCGTGAACATGGAGTCCAAGTATGTCATCCAGGCGTTGTTCATAAACCTCACTTGTGAGGTGTTGGAGCACTATATTCAGATCCCCAAGTTGGAGGGTGAAACTTCCGCTTTAATTCTCCAATCAGAAAGTTTAAGTAGGTTTACTAACCATCTAGTTGTGTTAGTAGCTTGATTATGAAATTCAGCTGTAGTCTGAGACGCTGTGGATTTAGATCCACTTGTATCCCGTCCGCCTAGGTTATTCGCCATAAGTCCTTGACGATGTAGGTGCACAACCAGGTGTGTCTGTCCTCGCTGAACTTTATGTAAAATTGCCTGATTGCCGCGTGTGCCCCTCGTCCCTAACTTGACAGGGGAGGTCTCTAACCTGAAGAAAGCAGCCCAATCATGAAGGTTCAGATTAACTGGACTGTAAGGAGGCTTGCTCATTCACTGATATATAGTTGTCACTTGTAACGTAAGTCTTGAACTGTGAACTAAGATCGACCTCTCGCGAGGTCGTTGTCCAACGCGTCCAATCAGAACAAGGCATTTTGATTCTGTAGAATACCCGCCAGATGTCACCGTGTAGCAGGAAAAACCTTGTATAAAATCTTGCCGCCGCTGATATTAGCATAATCGCCGGTCTTCACCGTAGCTTCCCCGGTTACCCGAAAGTGACCACGTTTTTCGAGGGTTAAGGTAAACGCCGAAACCTCCGGGCCAAATACCTCGCCTGTAATATTAATGCTGGGTAGGTTATTTTCCTGGCTGTCGTGAATGTAATTTCAGTTTTGAATATAATTCACTTCCTTATATAAAGGTACAATAAACTTGCAAGTTGTCAGCTTGTAGACTGTATACCTGAATGTATCGTCATAATTGTAGAATTAAAGCTGAACTTGTACATATTTCTTCTCAGAAACTTTGACGATTATGAGTTAACTCGCTGTAACAAGGCTGCTGTTCAATTTCGATATTGAATTGTCTCGCAGATTCATGTAATGGTCACGCATGTAGATAATCGTATCAGAGTCCGGGATTGCATATTCTAGCAATCTATAATGGAAAGGTTGATTTCTGTGAAGATCTATGCAACGCCGCTGATTAATTAATATAGCGACGCTTTGTGTTGTAAATAGCCTGTGCAATTGTCTTCGCTGCAGGCTTATAGATCGGCATATGGCATACAGTTGATAGACAACTTATGCGATGTCTTGAACGGACTGACGAAAGTAGCTATATATGACGAAAGTGGCTCATATATGGAGACCTTGGAGGAAAATTCCTCGGTGGACGCCGGAGACTTCGCCAAGCTCTCGGCATCCATTCTAGATTTCCTGTGTGAGGTAGACTTGAGCCACTTAGCCTTCGCGACCTTCGCGAAGGTATCGAAGTCAGAGCCCGATCAGTATATATATAATATATGAGCTTGCTTCATGAATCCACCTCTGTGTTCAACAGGAGTGAGTGAGTGAGTGTTTTGTTTTACGCCGCGACTCAGCAATAGGTGGGCCGGTGAAGCGCCACTCCTCCGCGGACGCCCCTTGTAACTGGTGAGGCTCTAGCTCCTTCGCTGAGGTGGCCTGGGACTTCCTTAGCGGCGTCTAGAATCTGATCAATATATGAGCCGCTAGCTTCATACAGGGTGTGGTTCTTGCTGGTTCTGCATAAGTAGAGCCGAGTAGATCATCCTATCATCTTCAGAAGTCGTGGTCACGAAATCTGGTGATAAAAATCTCATTGATCGCTCTAGATCTATTAATGCCAAGAACATACGCCTCTGGCGCTTGAACTGTTATGGCTTTATGGTAGGCTGTGTCCACATACTGTGGCACCGCAGCAATCGAGTCGATCGGAGGTAAGGTGATTGCGCTCTGCCTCGCCTTCCTTTATCAGGTATGTTCATGCCGAGTTGCCACTCTTGGAAGGTGAAGAGAGATCTAGGTTGTTTACCATCCAATATCGTATCTCAGCGCCTGAGAAAATGATGCCTCCATCATTTCCTATCCCAGCATCGCTGATGAGATGTTGCTGCTCTTCTGATGGTGGACTGTGTATTTCTATCTCTATGTCGGGTGACGCCGGGGGAGACCTGACTGTAGACTTGTGTGCAGACTTGTGTGGTGACCTGTGAGACGCATCGACGTGGTGATGTAATGAAGAGATCGGCGCTGGTTAACGGCGCTGGAGATCGTGTTGGTGATCTGGCGCCTATGGGCTTGACCTTCGAGACCTGTGAGGAGAATGTTGATAGCTTCGCTGCTCTTGTGTAGTCAGGTGTCCTTCGCGGCGGCCTTCGCCGGCTTCCTCTGCGTCCGGGTCCTGGGGAACAGCGATTTGACCTTCGAAGGCTTCCGTGAGGTCTGATGGTCTGAGTCCGCATCTAAGGATGAAGCCGAGGCAGGTGATGATCTATCCGCCGCT